TCGAGGGACCATAATGTGAGTGGATGAAAACTGGAGTTTTCCAGAAAACCTATACAAGAACATGTTAGAACATTCTGGACAAAAATACATTGATTTTCTTTTTCCAATATTCTATGGCTGGTTTAAATTTAAACATCTTGTCCTTGTTTTAATGTATCAACTCTGTTTCCTATATTCTTGCTCAAATTTGTAACGGCAATGTTTTATCTTATCTTGACCCTGCTCTAAGTTTTTATTTTGGCTTTTAAGTTCACATATACTTAAATTTATCTTATCAAGTTTTGATGCAATCGATTTTATTACTTCTTCATTCTCAATTATTTTATTTAGGTTTTTTCTAATTTCATCATCGTCGTTTGAATTTTGTAAAAGATCATAAAGATTTTGAATGCCTTGTTTAATTTCACTTTGTTTTTAACATTTAATTCTTCTATCTTTTTTATCTCCTGAATGAAGTCTTTCTATGACGTATCATCAAATCAATTATTTCTTCTTTATACCTTTTAGATATTTCTTTATCACTGTAGGATGACAATAATACAGAATCAATTTTCTTTAAATAATCTTGTTTCATATTTTGATCATCACATAGATCGGTAATTATTTGTTTTAGTTCATATTTATAACCATCATAATCGTGATCATTAAACTTTAATGCAACTAAATGACCAAAATTTACATTACGTATTAACACTATTCGATTAAAATTAGCAGCTAATGAACGATCTTTTGAAGCCATTAAACAAGATTTTCATCCCAGCAGCCATTCTTTGGTATCTCTCCAGTTAAGCTATAACAAGATGATAAATCAAATTCATTTAAACTATTTGGTATAAATGAATGATTTATTGAATCTGGATATGGAAAATTCGAATTTATTTCGAATATTTTCTTCTGAACATCTATTAAATGACGGCCATTTAGTATTCCATGTCTTCTATTTGATAAAACATTGAAAACGTTTTTATTCATCAGATTCTATTATTTATTTCGAATATTTTCTTAATATTCTAATAAGAATAACTACACAACAAAAAGGGGCATTTTGTCAATTTAAAATGGACCCGTGAATAAATAGATTAGAAAATATCACCTACAATGAAACGACAATGGTAATGTCCTCAAGCTCGAAAAAAGGACCTGGTAGCGCTTTTTTCCCGGTGGAAAATTTGTTTGATGCAACTAGCTAACTAGGTTTTTTTTACTAGCTTAGCTAGCTCCGACTGCCAGAGCATCGACTTATCTAGCTGCATCGGTCGATGCATTGATTTCAGTTAGGAAAATATGAATGTGAATGGGTTGTCTTATCCAGTATCGTGCGACATCTGCGTGATTCATTGTTCGACATATTTCTGGATGCATCGACCAATGCAGCTAGATAAGTCGATGATCTAACAGTCGCAGCTAGCTAAGCGAGTAAAAAAGCAACCGATGTACCAGCAAAGGCATCTAGATAGTTCCACTAAAGAACTTTGCTTGTGTGGAACGGAAAGTGAAATTATGAGTGAAGATCGTAATACAAGCGTA